CCCGCTATTTATTTTGTGACATCTCACATGGGTAAAGTTTCGGACAAACACGGTCAGGGTGAATCTGGCGATCATAGGTCTTTGCTAGGTCTGGTGGACCGTACTCTGCAATCGAATTGTGTGCCTCAGCCGATTTCGCAAGTCCCTTGTGAACAGATAATATATTACTGCTATGTAGCACATATTAAATTACGGATCAGGCTTTTTGACAGGAAATATTTAAATAGAAAACAGAATGAACAGTCAAATGTCTTAGTTTTAGAAAAACATTCAAATTCACTTGAAAAACGAAATGAAATTTATGTAAAAACGTATTGGTCACAGCGTTTAAGCTGTTGTCATGGAGATATAGATGAAGCACATGGTTTGGACCAGCGATGGAATACTATCATGATAGATGTGTTTTATGACAGGTAATAAATGAATCTTTCTACATGAGCTCGAACAGTATTCTCCGATGCTAAAATACCTCACACTATTAACCTAAATAGAAAAGTCATCTGATACAGGTCGAAGGACACTGGCTAAAGGATCGAACATCATTCTGACATTCTGCGTGAGTAGATACTATAACAGTCATAGCTCAAGGACATATTGTTAACGACCGATCTCTTCGACCCATTAGTTACGACCAACTAAACTATATGTATATATTACACTAATCACCTGTGTGGTAGCTACTTTATCACTGTTCACTATTAACGATTCGGTGTCTATAATTCAATATGGATGAAATAAATCCCATCGTGATTCTTCAGCGACAGCGTCCAGTGAGTTTAAATTTCTTTATCCACGGGTGTTAACATATTTAATACGGGTGTCAGGAGTGTTAGATTCTACCAGCATTCAATCATTCTTCCAGCTTTTATACTTCATAAACAGGGAGGAAATCCGCCGTATAAACAAAATGTACATCACACAGGCTTTACAGGCAAGAGTCATGACGTAATGAAACCGATGACGTCACTATGATACACGAAGCAATGTTCATTTCATGGCAGCCTCATCTCCGCTGGAGACACAGCCTGATATTTTCGGGATAATAAATGCAAATACAGTTCTGGAATCGAGCTTACACATTTTCAAGGGGATATGACAGTATTATACTTCATATTTGTTTGCGACGCATATGCCAACATACTGTTGTGTTAGTTTGTTAGTTTTAACTGTCTCTGCTGACGGTCTCTACGATGTCAGGAGCATAGCAACCAGACTAGCATATCAATGTCATAAACAAATGACATTATTCCGGAAAAACAGTTTCATTAAGAAAAGCCCGATTTGTGAAACGCCAAACCTTGAATAACAAAAATCAACATATTACGTTACGAAAAGAAAAATCCTTCTCACCCTCGAGTACAAGCAATGGAAAACAAACGAAAACACGCTGTACCATTTCTTGCCGGCCTCGTCACTCTTTCTTCTTATCATATGCACTCTGCGCATGCGTGCAAGGCCCGGATGTGGAAGCCCCTCGAGACGTGGGGAACAAGTTCGCGCTGGTGGCTGCCGAGTAGATGGGCCATTTTTCCATGAAGGCAACTGACTGGGGAATGTGAGAAAGAGTGGATTTGAAACGTAAGGGAAAAGTTGCTTACAGCAATCTCTGAATCGTCATGTTGCAGGATACGAACACTGGATTGAAAACACATAATAATAATAACAATCATCAGTCTCCATTGTCGCATACATTCATAAATTTGTAAATACGTAAGTTCGGCAGCGCACAATATACTGAAAACACAATATAGAAACAGGCTTCATCCCTTGTTCAAGTCTGCTCGGTGGAACTAGTATCCGAATCTGGACTCCCGGCAACGCTTCGATGAATTCGATATAAAACTCCTTCCGTTCCATGGATCCGCCTTTGTGAAAGTAGTTTACGTCTTTATAACCGCTCCGGACTTGTGTCATCACAGATGTTGCATCTTTAAAAACGCCTTTAATCCACAAGTTCCGGACAACTGTTTTCAACCGAAATATCGCCATATCATGTCAGTTTCATATCTTGATCATATGATTACCGTTTGAGTGTCACGTGTCCTCATTTGCATAAAGTAGGCACTGCCTGATTGGACTGAAAGTACTCTTCAAAGGCCTATAACTCTACCTCGTCGTCCGGTGACGAATTCACTTACTCTTAACGCACAGACAGAATGACATTATGATACCAAAGATCTGAAATATACGAAGACAATGTCAATCAAAAACAAAATCATTTGAGCATGTTCTTGGGTGGTTATTGTTGTTAAGCTTGCAGAAAACCAATTCGTCCAATATCTGCAAGCCACTGAATATTTATGCTACATACACAAACACCGTTGTATCGAAGATGAAGGAAACACCGTAAATATTTCGAGAGTCATCTGAGGTTCGGCACAATCGCAAAATAATGTTTAAACTATGAATAAGCACAACCAAACGTTTTCTTCGATACAATCGTACGTCTGACACAAAGGTATTTGACTGTAGTCACAAGAATGTGCTTCATAAACTTAGCGTGTTATCAGAAATACCCTATGCTTATGTGCCATCATATCTTCGATTTGTGTCGGGTACAAACTAATCCTACACAGATGTTCAAATGTAAAATTACCGATGAACAACCATGATGGTACCCAGGTCCGATGTGAGCTTGACTTAACGTAATGTGAGTTAAAGCTTGGACGAGGGTGGGGGTTTTGATGAAAGCAACATATTATACGGCTCACTTGTAGAAAAGAGACTAAAAAACATGAATAGCTCTACTGTCATAGCTCAAAAACAGACTAAAACTACAGCCAAATGATACTTGTTCCTCCATAGAAGCGATAAGCACCAAACACATTTTTCGAGGTTCTATGTACTAGTGTAAAAATTCTCTTAGACTAAACTTACCAAAAAGATCGGCACGATTGCAGAAACTATGCCAGCAACGGCGGAATACGTCAACAAATAAACCATCAGCTGGTCATAACAGCCCTGAAAAACGAATAACATAAGATGATGATGATGGTGATGATGATGATATTTCGACATAAGCCACAGGCTCAGCATGATTGTCAGAGCAATCTGTGATTTCACGACTATGGAGATCAGACCTGGAAGTCCCACACTGTGACCATGGGCGGATTCGAACACTGGGCAAGATGAGCAACCGCTTTAGGATCCAGATTACCAATAGTGTGGGATTTTTTCTGTTATTTCTAGCAAACGCTCCACATCTCTCACTCTAACCCCTCGGTCACGTGCGTCTAGCGTGTCAGATTGACATTTCAGCATCTCGAGAGTGAGTGAGTGAGTTTAAAGTTTACGCCGCTTTAGCAATATTCCAGCAATATCACGGCGGGGACACCCACAAATGGGCTTCACACACTGTACCCATGTGGGGAATTGAACCCGGTCTTCGGCGCGACGAGCGAACGCATTAACCACCAGGCTATCCCAATCCTCTTTCACACCCCTGAACCCAGGTGAAACTGGGCGCATGCGCTGATTATTTTCCCTTTTGCTCAGCGCTGCAACGCTACAACCCAAAACGAATCGCTTCCGACCGACAAGCATGGGTTTATGAAGGCCTACCTTCATGACGGTAATGTAATTCTGGAGCTGGTGGGTGTTTTTACAAATCATCGCGAATCATCAATATTCAAGTTGTATGACAGCCCGGGTCAAATCTCGAATTAACAAAACCTTTGAATTTATGACGAAAAAATTAACGCAGTCATGATCCACACATGGGTATCTTTTAACCCAACGCTTCCAGAGCTGGTCAGCTTTATCATAGCCCGTGAAGATCCGGGTTAGAATTGATCTTCAGTAACCCATGCTGACGGATCAGGTGGTCAGGCTCGCTGACTGGCTGGTGTAGATCGATGCTCATGCTGCTGATCACTTGATTGTTCGGCGCAGACCGCCGCCATATTGCTGGAATATTGAAGTAAGTGCAGCGTTAAACAACAAACCAACCAGGCTTATAGGCTCGATCGGGCGGTGGGTAGTCTAGTAGTTAAAGCGTTGGCTCGTCACGCCGAAGACCCGTCTTCGAATCCCCACATGGGTACAATGTGTGAAGCCCATTTCTGGTGTTCCCCGCCGTGGATGTAGCTGGAATATTGCTAAAAGTGTCGTAAAACCAAACTCAGTCAGTCAGTATAGGCTCGACCAGTACTCACTGTGGTGTAGAGGTGGGGTTTATCTTTTTGAACCTCTCCTTCTGAGGGTTGAGATGGTTGGGGGGTCCGGGGAAGTAGGTTTGTCCCGTGCAGATGGCCTTGTCCCCTTCCCGGCAGCAGCTGTCCGGCACCATCTGGAGCTTCTTACCTTCTGATGGAAAACGAGCCTTGTCTGATGACCGCGCCAATTCAGCACGCAAGACATAACGTTAGTGGGAAGCAACGAAACAAAAGCAAGCAAAAAGAGCACAACAGATGAACTGAAGGATACGTAGGGCAGTCAGCTAGCATTGGCGCCATGTGTTTAGAGAAGGGTGCGGGTGGGGTTGGCTGAGGGGGTGAGGTATGATGGGACGGAGTTTGGTTTTCAATTTCTTTTCAGTTTCCTGCTGACATGCAAATTGAGGAGCTCCCATCTCACTGGGTTTCTCTCTTACAGGTAAATAGAAATCCTAGTTTCTGTCAAACTTTTTGGGAGACTAAGCTTTTGGACAAACTTCAGCTTCAGTCTGTTTTTAACCAAACCTCTTCCTGTGGACAATCAAATCGAAGGGCTCTATCTCACTGGGTTTCTTTTACAGTTAAAAAGAAATCCTTGTTTCTATAAAACCTTTGGGACACTAAGCGTTTTGAAAACACTTCAGCTTCGGTCTGTTTTTAACCAAACCTTTAACATGTGATGTGTTTATGGATAATATATTTTCAATTCCAAATTGTATTGGATTCTGAAATTCCTCGCAACAGGACTATAGAATGAGAACAAGTGTCTTCAGTCCATGGCACCAATGCTGAGCGAAATATAACTAAACAAAATGAAAACGCAAGACTGTGAGGGTTACAAATACAGGTTTCAAATAAACATAAATGGGAAAAAAGATATATGGTAATAAATGCCTTGCACTACATTAGGAAAAGAATACACAGTGTGGAAACAACGAACGAATCAAGCTGAGTGAGCGAGTTTATTGCAGTGAATATATATGCACAGGAAGAATTAGCTGCACTGAGTATTTATTTGAATTGAGGTGTGAGTGAGTGAGTGGGTTCAGTTTTACGCCGCACTCAGCAATATTCCAGCCATATGGCGGCGGTCTGTAAATAATCGAGTCTGGACCAGACAATCCAGTGATCAACAACAGCATGAGCATCGATCTGTGCAATTGGGAACCGATGACATGTGTCAACCAAGCCAGCGAGCCTGACCACCCGATCCCGTTAGCCGCCTATTACGACAAGCATGGGTTACTGAAGGTTCATTCTACCCCGAACCGTAACGGTTCTTGAATTGAGGACTTGTTAAAAGTAAAGATATATATTTACACTGACCATCTACATTTACAATGGACATCTAATTGCACTGAACATCTACATTTACACTGAACATCTAATTGCACTGATATATATCACACTGAACATGTTTTTGTACTGATATTTATCATCCAAAACTGTGTTCCACAGGAGATATCGCTTGTGTGAGATCAAACGATATCTCCTAGGAGATATCGCTTTGACAGTAGATTTTGTACAATGCCCTGACAATGCTATGACGTCAGCGTACTTGATGACGTCACAATGCCATGACATCACTGCACTGCAAGTGTAATGGCAGTACCATGTTCAGAGATGTACATTTTCATTGAAAATTAATGAAGAGTGATTTTGATGATAATAGAATTCACCCTCAGTTCTTCTGATATCAATATATCAACACTCGTTGATAAAGTAAAATATCCTCGGCAAGCCTCGGATATTTGTAACTTTATCAACTCGTGTTGATATAATTGATATCAGATGACACTTGGGTGAGATTCCCTATATATCACACTGAACATTTATTTGCATTGAAGATTAATTTCTACTGAACATATATTTACATTGAACACTTATTGCATTGAACATTTACTTGAATCTTTACTTGAATCTTTACTTGCACTGAATATTTACAGTTACACTCACGGTCATTCTGCATCTCAATATACCACAAAGTGTTAGTGGAATAGAATGCCCAGGAATCGGTTGAAGTGCTGTCGCCAGAGATGCCACAGCAGCCGAGCTGAAAGAGGGATCGGGAAATCACGGATAATGTAACTAAAGTGAAACCCGTTAGTCTGTAAACCACGTTAGAAAGGAAACCCCTAGATCTAGATCGTTCGTCAAGAGATCCCGATAGTCCCTTAACAGCACATTGTCAGACCGTTAGTTGCTAAATGCATGTTTTTCTGTCAAAAACCGTTAGTCGAGAAAACCCGTTTGCGAGTAAAGGAACCAGTTAGCACGGAAACCTCGTTAGCCTAAACCCCGTTAGTTTGGAAACCCCGTTAGTTTGGAAACATCTGCTATTCATTAAAGAAATCCATCATGAAACCTCGTTCTTCTGGAATTAAACTCCGTTTCGGAAGATCCACAATATAATTGTGTGGTAAATAAATTGACAACTACGGAATCTTGGATTTACAAATTTAGGGAGACATTAATCCGAAAGAACGATTTCACAGAGCGATATAGCGTCCAAATTAACTAGCGGGTGAGTGAGTATTGTTTTACGCCGCTTTTAGCAATATTCCAGCAATATCACTAGGGGGGGGGGAGACACCAGAAATGGGATTCACACCGAGTTAACCAGGTTCTGGTGAACATGCTACATTTCATAAGGTAATGGTTATATACGAAACCGTTAACACATTTAGGGGATGATGTATGGAAATGTGTCGACGACCACGTTCTGGAGCCGTACCTGTCGCTGCATGGAGTCCCACGCCTCCGTGATGCGCTTGTGTTCAGGTAACGTTCGTGTACCTACGCCGTACTTTTCCGTTAACGTGTCGCGCATACGGGACTTTATGTGAGAAGCAAGCTGAAAGAAACAATTGATACAATCACTGAGTAATGTTTTACGCCGTTTTTAGGCTATTACAGCAATGTCATAATTGGAATCAACAGAAATGGGTTTCACGTTGTAGTCATGTGGTGAAACCAATATAGGCCTTCCGCATGACGAGCGAATACTTGGGTGAGTGAGTGAGTTTGGTTTAACTCTGCTTTTAGCAATATTCTAGCAATTTCACAGCTTTCACCCTTTTACACATAGATGAACCCCACGGGCAAGTTATGGCGCAGAGAAACCTAGATATACACGAACCGGGATTCGAACCCAAGATCATAGGTCTTGCTGCCCGGGGGACGCAACTTTGCATAAATTATTGCAGCATCCCAGACGACTCGTGCCCCAATACGTTGTATAAGTGGTGGTGTGTGGTCCTGTGCATGGAGCTCAGGTCACGGTCAGATGAAATTAAGCAACGTTGAGCGCGGAGAGTCCTTGATGGGTGACCGTGTCTGGCAGCTTCGACTCCTGAGAGTTTCTAAGACTTCAGTCCTGCCCCACAACGAAGCACATGTGATACAGGTAGTCTCACCAAGTGAATCTGTTGAAAATTGCCTCTGTTCCCCCAGCCGAAAATGGGTACCCGATGGGATAAGTCAAGTGATTATTGACTTTTTTGCGCCTCACCGGCTGCTTAGGTTATCCGGGGTAATAATTCTGCGCCTTTGCGCAATACTACATAGGAAATAAGCTATACAATATAATGTATAACATCATTATATGTTGAGGTTAGCGTTCAGTGTTTGTTTCATTCCCAGAGTTTTAAGGTATACTTACTGCGCCCCGGAAGAAAAACGACAAGCCTGACGCCACGCCCAGTATTATTAATACTATAGCTAACGTTGTGCCATACTGAAATAAGAAAATACATGTAAACTGCTGCTCCAAAGGTAAATAACTGAAAAACAGTGCTTCAACAAAATCATGGCCAAACGGTCATGTACATAGGCTCACAGTGAAACCCTTGAGTATTTCTCCTCTCGCGGTGAAACCCAGGTATATATTTACATCCATAGTGAAACCTCTTATATCAGGATAACAATGTTGCAAATGAAATCCGAATCCACGTTTTAACGAGAAATAGCATACATTGTAGTTATATTACATTAGCAAATGTTCGAAATGTGCAGTATTTGGATTAATGGGGTTTCATTGTACTCAAAATACGACCATTCCAACCACCTGTTCATGTTGAGTTGTTGAGTGAGTGAGTGAATGTGTATGGTTTTACGCTGCTTTTAGCGATATTCCAGCAATATCACGGCGGGGGACACCAGCAATAGGCGAATTACATTGAGAACATAATGTCATCTAGATAATGTTCCATTTATGCATTTAACCTCAACTAAACATGTTGCGATCACCATCATTGTAAATTTCACATAAAAAATTACTCTAAACTCAGCGTTTTGAGTAATGTGACAATACTATACTCACAAATGACAAAACACATTTATCTTCTCGTATTGTGCCGCAGCACCCACAGAAGGCTAGGAGGGCTACAGCCCCACCCCCGGCGATGAGGAGGTATGTCGTCACTTCATACAGCTGGTTATCCACAATAGGGGTGACTTTCCTCGCGCCGAAGTCGGTGACAAGAAGCCATACCCCCACGCCAAGCGAAGCACAGCCAATAACCTGTGGACACAAGCAGTCAGGTCATGTAAACAGTCGTTTCAGAGTCATATCCAAATAGATTTAACATAGTGCTGCGACTCAGCTTTTCATATATCTATAACGCCAAATGATGTTGTCTTAGCAGAGCTCCAGATAAGATTTAGCTCATGTGGGTACTGTACCCACTGTATTTTTTTGGAGTGGGTATTATGAATGTTGAGTGGGTATTTCATTTTCCGTTACCCACTGCTTTCAAATATGTGCGTATTTCAGTCATTTTACTCACCTAAGTATATATGTCATTGAGTACGTTTACTAAGCAGGTATGTCCTGCCTTATATCATACCTAATCAAACAAACTTCAATATAATGGAAATGATTTCATAAAAACATCACTCATCCTATACTGACAGTACAACACTTGTCCTATACTAAGAGTACAACTTGACAGCAATCGATGACTTTTTCATTGCGCAAGCGATTTTTATAAATATATTCCGTGCGCATTTGTTTTAAACTTTTTGCGTGTCCAACATTTTAAATGCGTAATTGGTACGCAACAATTATTTTTCAATGCGTAATTGGACATTTTCTATGCGTATTTTACCCGGATACGAAGCTTATTTGGGCCTCTGATAGTCTTGTTTGTTGTTTAATGCCGCACTTAGCAACGTTCCAGATATAAGGCGGCAGTCTGTAGATAATTTAGTCTGGACCAGACAATCCAGTGATCAACAGCATGAGCATTGACCTACGCAATTGGAATACGATGCCTGTATCAGCCAAGACGTCGAGCCTGACCGCCCGATCCTGTTAGTCGCCTCTTCCAACAAGCAGAGGCTGCTTATGTCCAGTTTAACCCAGATGTTCACGAGCCATGCTAATTGAAGGAGATGCTTCTGTTGTTACAATACATCTCAGCTTCAGAGAGAACAATGGAAATTTTACAAGATTCACTTGATTTGAGCTTGATGAGGTCATAGTACGGTTGAAAATAATCAATCATGTTGCACACAAAGGACCGAGTAACGGACTAGTAATCTTTTCAATATGGCTCCATTAGGGATAATGTATAAAAATGCGAGAAAATCCCATTGCAGGATTATCCATGCGAGATTTCAAATTCATGCATTTTAGTTTCCGAAATGTGGAGTCCAACGAGGACAGCAACGACACAAACTACAACAACTACACATCGGCTACAAAATCACTCATACCTTACTAATATGTAGTTACCACAATCAAATAAAAAAATCTAACGTTTCAACAACTGTTTTCCCTCGCGAATAAACAGGGAAAATGATGTTTAAGTTCTTTTCAATTATTACAAGTTCACCAAGTGCATACGGCTACGGATGATTAAATTTAAGTCAAGATCTCGGTACATATTTCGAAGGAGATGTTCACGTTTAAGGCAGTGTCGGATTCGCCATTATATACGCATATACTATTCAACAGAGCGGTTATGTACGTTTAATAAGAGACCGACATTCTCTGCCCATGTTTATTTCATGAACAAAACCAACTGGGGACGGTCTCTTGACGTTAAATATATTGTAAGTAGTAGATAGGTAGTTATTATTTATCGTTTGACCCCCCCGAGTAATGATATGGTAGGTCTGTATGTACATCTTACCAATATGTTTAAATGCATAGGTAGCTAAGTAAATTATACTTTTATAAGATGAAGTCATGCGCTTTGAATAAACGTTCACGTGCATCAAATCACAAACAGGAAATATTTTTGTGATGATTGAAATGCGACAGATGACAACAGCTTCAAGTAGGGAGTGTTTTCAAACAGATCAACGCTCTGCCCTTGATCTTTGAACACAACAGTTCTATTCATTTTAAGTTTAAAGCATGCCTTCAAAAACATGACATGTTTTGAGGAAGATAGCATTAAGGAAATTAAAAGACGGAGTATTTTCACTAAGTGGATTGGCTTGTTAATATATGATGAACTTTCCTAGTCATGATGGACACATAGGGCGGTTTCTCTGTTAACATGTTTCCTTTACAACTACTCTTAATGATTATTTTCGTCAGTGTCAGTCTTAAGTGACTCTTGAATAGGATCAAATTCCAGGCGATTTGCCTTGTTGACAATCTTCACTATTTCTCGTAAGTCCATAATAGTTATGATGTTTTACGCGGTTGGTTGGACGATATTACATTGCCAAGAAATATATAAAGGATGTGCATAGACTACACACTGTTCGTCAATATTGATTTCTTGAATTTAATAAAGTAGGAAGATATTTGTTAAAAACAATTTGACTTTATGGGATGTCAGTAAATGTCAAACACATGTTGTTAATTTCACGGCATATTGCGAAACAAAAACAGAAAAAACTATTGACAATTCACTTAGAAGGTTTTGCCAAACCGATATTTTGCAAACCGATCCCCATCCAAGTTTTATAATACCTCCTATCTGAGGTTTTGGTACATGTGACTCATTGAATCGGAGCATCTGTGCTACAACCATAAGACAAGTGGGCGGACCTAATTATGATGTTTCAATGCAGATGACGACGAAGGTAGATCATCAAAAACATAACTGACAAGTACCTCAAGAAAGTAATATGATCAGTTGGAAGAAAACACTACTAAGGATTAGTAATATGATTCATATTTGTCTAATCAATGGTCGAAGGTGAGGTGAGGTGAAATTGGGGTTAACGTCGTGCTTGAGAATATTTCGCTCATATGACGACGTGCATGCATGCGTGTGTATGTGTATGTGCGCCTGCTTGTACTAGCCCAGACTGAAGCTGGTTTTATAGTGCTAGCCCACTGAGATACCATGCCGCAGTGAAGCACTCAGACACATACTGACTCCGAGCCGACCAGTCCTTGATATACCCATTAATGCCGAGCGCCAGACAGGGACCAACAAGTACCATATTTTAACGTCTTCTGGTATGACGCAGTCGGGGATCGAACCCGCGACCTTCCGCTCTCCGGGCTGACGCTCTAACCACTACACCACGGAGGCGGTCCAATGGTTGGAAGATCAGCATAGGTTGCCAATGGCCACGTTAAGTCCTTGACTGTGATTCACGCTTGGAGCAACGGTGCCAAATATGTTTGCTTTGAACGTTGTACTTGATGTGGAACAATCTCTTGAAGAGGCATGGAACCAAATAGAGAGTTAACAGACTTGGATTGTGCGACAAGCTGGCTGATACAGCATTGGCATATTGTGTCTACTTATAGCGTCCTAGACATTCAATTAATGAAGAACAATAGCCCTGGATGGGAACACGCAACGAAATTTGACGGATAAACCGCGCGAAAGACCCGCCATTCTGATGAACACAAAACATCAGACATCGTGTTCCTCTTCATCAAGGAGGGTTAAACTCCAGGCCGAACCTTAGAATGAAGGGCGAGTAATGTTTGAACTGATAAATCATCTTGCCATTTTCCTGCTCAAACAACTACTCCTACTATGGACCTAGTCGACGAGAAGTCGAGGAATTTCAATGAAAACTCTATCGCTAGGATCATTTCTGTACAATCGCCCTTTCCCAAACCACCATGCTTTATTCGTGTAATCGCTGGCAATTAAAATTCTGAGGTTATAGCTTTGCCTATATTTTATTCGAGATCTGGGACTAAACGCTCCAGGCATAAAACCTTCTATCGTGGACAGCTAAGCAATTTTCTCAGAGAGGCTGTCATAAATGGTTGGTGTATTGATCTCCAACAGCTTTATGTTCGTCGGACTCAACCAAAGAGTCGTCTACTTTTCAGCAAGGAAAGAAACATGTGCATTTTCTTCTACTAATATCCAGGAATTCTTGCAGAATTTGTAACGGATTCGGATGATGGTGATGGCCACTTCAATATATTCTCCCTAACCATACATAAAACCAGGCACTGTTCCATCTACCGTTTGCTGGTGATTCCAATATTACCGCTATGAAGTATGAAAGCCCTTAATGGAATTCGTCTGAATATAAACGTTTGCAGTATATCGTGGGACACGGAACTTGATTTGCTTCATATTATCCAAACAATTGTTTTCGTGCCGCCTTCTATTAGTGTGGGTGAGACGTATCCTATAATAGTGGGTGAGTTTAACTTTGAAGATGAAGTTGGGTACTAATTGTTTTGGGGATTTTCATATTGGCCATTGTAGGGTGAGGTGAAGTGAGGCTGGGGGTAAGGGAGCTCTTGAGGAAATGCTTTTTAAGATCGCGTTTCAAGATGTTTTTCACTCACATTCGACCTTCACTTGGGAATGCGTACGTACGTACGTACGTGATTGCTGCGCATTTACTAGCCCTGACTAATGCCGGTTTTTAGTACAAGCGCACTGAGATACCATGCCGCAAAAGGAAACCCAAACTCATGCCATAGTATGCTGAATCAGTTGTTGTTTCATTCCATCAAAATGCCCTACAGCAGGAAGGGAAACAACAAGTGTCACAAACAACCAACTCTCTACATAACAAGTTTAAGAGTACATCACCTACTCCACTCTGAACGATCCTCAATCACCACAATATCACAAAGACCTCATCCATCACTACCAACCAAACAGAACTCTCAGATCACAGAGCAAATGCCAACTCTCAGTGCCAGACTCCAAGACAGCCATGGGGACATGAGCCTTCTCAGCCAACGCTCCTATTCTCTGGAACTGTCTTCCAATCAACCTTAGATCCAGCACTTCACTGGACTCTTTCAAGAAACAACTGAAAACCTACCTATTCCCACTGACCCTGTAAAAGCCACAGAGCAGCATCGGTTGGACATTTGGCGCTCAACAAGTGCATTACTAGTATTATTATTATGAACGATAATTATGTGAACATTAAGTCAAACTGTGTGGATATTCGTAAGCACAATAGATTCCCCAAAGTTCGACTAAACAAAACAAGGATCGGATGGTACAAATATATGACTGAGTGTGTGTCTAGGACAAACAAGGCGAACGATGCTCATGCTATCTGTTTATATGGCACACGCCGTTAAGATAGACTAGCAATGGGATAGCATGGATACCATGTGTGAGTGAGTGAAATGAGTATTTCAGGTTTTTGTACGTATTATCTGCTTGTTGGAACTGCCTTTAATGTCTGGATCCCCGTTTTGACGTGTGAGCTGACTATACTATTTAGCACTGGTTTGACTGTACCAGGTTCGAACACAGAAAATAGCAAAATCGGTTAATGCATGAACTGTTCAAACCACGACAGTGTGAGCATTGACAGTATCAGCTTGGAAGTGTAAGATCCATCAATACTACAGTTTTTGGCAGCTGTTTTTTTTTTTCTTTTACAGCTGCATCAAAGCAAGCTGTTGCCAGGAATAACATAGCAACCGCATGAAAACAATCGAGAGAATGTAGTCATGGCGTAAGCAACTATTTGAAGGTCAGGTCAACATGACCTAGTCAGAAAGGTCACAACTGAGCTCAGACTCCGGGTCCACAAAAACAATGTAAGTACGACTGCTTCACGTAAGCTTAGGAATTTGATCATCTTTGGGCTAAGATCGATTAGTCGACCGTGACCTTCGTAATGTATCAATGACTACATCTCCAGAACACGAGATCATGACGTTTGTTTATCGGTCAAGACCTTTTTTTCATAATATTTTAGTACATATTTTAAGTCATTTCCAATTAAGAACTTGTTCACTTACCAATATACAGACATTGTAAGAAAGGAGAGTTCCACGGAGGCTCATTGTACAGTTGGAGTCATTCTGTCTCCGTACACGTTTTGCCTTGTAATCATCCGAATTTTCCCGGGAAGATCGTCGTCTGCGCAATGGCTGAAAACAAAGACAGACGACATTAAACTCTGATGTCTGTTAAAATAGAATGAACATCGTCATGCTTTAGTATCAAGAAATATTCTTCCTTTCAGTAACCTTCACACGTTAAACGTTGAAAATGTTATATTGAAAAACAATTGAAGGTACAATATCAAATATAACCCGTTTCTGTTATTCAGGGTAGAAAGCTGGAAAAAAACCCATATTCTTTCACAAAAATGGTTTGTTGACTTTCTGCAATACTCTAGTCGATTGTATCGAGACACATTCAAGGTCCGGAAACGTAGAAGTTAGGAATGACCTATAGTCGACTGACTGCCACCCCGATCAAACCAGTCAACGCAGTGATGACCTTGCAAAACACGTCATAACAAACAACGTCTTCACAGGTAAACATAAACTCTCCCACCATCATCCGGTAATCCTGATTGTAATATCCATCAGGTACCTTCTTCATCATGCGCGAATCGACATCCATTTGGTATGCGCCACATGCTGCATCACACCTCAAATGTCAGCAGAGACGCGACAATTACCGCCATTACGCCGGAGACTGAGAATGTCAGATGTTTGAAAAGCAATTTACGATAATTTATAACAACTTATATCTCATCAGTCTAGCCCTGGAGCTTGTGTGGAGTATAATTAAATTCTGTACTGAAACGTCGTGGTAGAGGTTGGTATGTGGTTTAAAGGAAGCTGCCAAATATCGCAGTGTCAAAATTTTACCGACTGGTATGACTGGCATCCCGCTAAAAAAATATCGCGTTGTATATAACATTCGTGGAAAGCGTGTAGCGGTTGGCAGTATGAATTAATAACATGTTTATATACAATGGGATCATATGAAGGTCATTTATGACATATTGATAACATTGTTATTAGTTATATACCAAGGAGGAAGTGAAACGTGACTGACACGATATGCGCCGGGATGCAATATAGTAGAGTGAACTAACTAGCTCACGTCAATCTGAGTTTCATAATGGTTTAGGGCGGGGTATTACTTTCAGCACACCACAGATGGATGGATGTAAAATGTCGCGAAACTGAATCTAATATAGTTCCCGAACTAAAGATTCGTGGAACGGTTAATAGATATTATTCTCCAAAGGAATGAGTGTCAGATATGTATGACTTGTTTGAGTGGCATTTTAGAAGTTGAAACGTACAATATATAACAAGTTTTATGGATAACAACTTCTTTATTTTCGTGAGTGCGACGTTTCGATACAGATTCTTGTACCGTTGTCAAGCAAGAGTGATACATGAAGTGTAGGAGCTGCATATATATACTGTATATAACAATGAAACAACATAATAGACAAAGGAAACAACATAATTGCCATGATTGGCTAAGCAGTAAGCTGATGAAGCCAGTAAGTACATAAAGGATAGTGAATGGAAGCCAGAGATGTAGTTACAATGAGATGTTTATACAATGGATGCGATGTTTATACAATAGACTGGGCTTGGTGGAGGAGTGGGTCATAAGCAGATGGAATGAAGTATCCTTTGTCACGGTTGATGGTAGGCTTGTGGCGTTTGATGTGAATGGCTTCTGTGAGCTTGCGTTTAGTGAAGTTGTTGGCGAGAATGGTGATGTCGGACCACTCTATTTGATGATTGGGGTTGGCTTTGATGTGGTCAGAGATAGCTGATTTGGTGTCGGAATTAGCAACAGAGGTGCGATGTTCTTTGACTCGGGTGTTGATGGGTCGGGATGTTTCACCTATGTAGCATTGTCCACAATCACAGTCTATTTTGTAAATAACACATTTCGGGTTGTTGTTGTTGACGGTGGGTTGTTTTCTTCCGTTGGCATGGAGGAGGTTGTTGAGGCTGGAGGACGCTGAGAAGGTAGTGTCTATTCCTGCCTGTTGTTTCAGGAGTCGGCTGATTTGGTGTGATGGTTTACCAATGTAGGGAATGGATATCTTGATGGGGGCTGATTCAGCTAATCACCAAATCAGCTATCTCTGACCACATCAAAGCCAACCCCAATCATCAAATAGAGTGGTCCGACATCACCATTGTTTATGTTGTTTCATTGTTATATACAGTATATATATGCAGCTCCTACACTTCATGTATCACTCTTGCTTGACAACGGTACAAGAATCTGTATCGAAACGTCGCACTCACGAAAATAAAGAAGTTGTTATCCATAAAACTTGTTACAGATATGTATGGTCTGCAAGAGGATGGGATGACATATGCACGGAAGTGATTGTTTATTAAATAACTGCTTTCATTGAAAGATTAACTGAAAGAATGAGAATCAAGATTATCCACCTGGTAACCCTTCTGACATAAAACCTCTTTAAACCGAATCTGGAAAAAACAAATCTCATCAAACTGGACCTCCTTACTCCGAACATGATTACATGGAACCTATTTACACCAAATCTGGTCACACCAAAGTTACATCCAACATATTGCACACCGAACCTCTATACAAAGGACACTTCAAATCCGGATGGTGACAGCAGTAAAGATGTTTTCTTTAAAGAAGCACAATATTACTGGCTGAAACCTGTTTAACGTACCGGTTGTAATATCGAGGTCCTTAGACTAATGAGGTTCGACTTTGACAGGAGTTAACTACACTAACTAAAAACGTGAAGTCCATGAATGTCCTTTATACCAGGGACTTAGTTTCTCTTCAATGAGGACAGAACCACTGAGAAGCCATAACAACTACCGCCGAATGGAACAATCACCATTGCGAAATAGACGCGTCATTTCCTATCGATCCTAATGTTTCCTTGAGATCGATACTAATTAGCGGTACCATTTTGTGCGTTTTCTCCAGAGTGCAGTTACCCAGCTAGCGTGCCGGTTTATTCATCTTCATCTTCAGCGGCTAACATCTAACACACATCTCCACAGCCACACTAGGATTCCGATATCGTCCCGCTACAATATGCTGAAAGGTGTTCACCTAGCCTTTGCATGATCCACGCGATTAGTCTGCGTGTAATTGCATCTGTTTCATGCCGTTATCCCTTACGAATCAATTCTACGCTTCGATTGCAAATCCTGTTCTCATATCATAGTCCTTGGTAATATTGCCTCTATCAACACAGCGTTCCATTTGAGATCTGCATGGACCAATATTAGCCGACGAACCTGCTTAAGTTCGCCCTGTGCTGAGGTCGGGCCGCTTGCAGACAAACTGAGTTTTCGTTTGATCCTCGCGTCCATTCATAGCCTTCCAGAAGGGTCAGCAAAGCCTATGGACCCTTCCATTGATTCCGATCGCCCATCTTCACTAGAATGGCTGCCTCGACCCAGATCAAACATTTGATGATCCGGCCGATTGCAGACGATCAGAATCCAAATCAGTGTTGACATTGGAGTGAATAGGTCGCCGAGGCCGCTAGGGTTAGCCGTAATCAACGCTGTTGGCAGCAGGCATGAACTGGCCCACGAAGGGTGACGTCGGTCGAAGCGAGGCCGTTACTGACGTCTCAACACCACGAAGTCGGGACAAGCACGACTAGGTCGTAATGGTCCCTGTGATGGCCGCAACAGACGGCTGCATAGGTAGCCCATTATCGAGTACTAATGTTTAGTCTGTGTCGTGCTCGGGAGTACATTGATGGAACGACGCGAGAGATGAACGTCAAATTGAGTGCAAAATTGTGGCAAATGAGCCCAGAAATCAATTGTTACTACATTACAGCAGTGAACCTGCGTAAACTGAATTATTGGCAGTCAATAGGCCGGTAGTAGTTGGTGCTCTATGGGTCCTCTTTCCCATGGCCGACAAGTATCCTCCTTGACAATGGACGAAATTTGCAAACTCGCTTCATGCGTCGCGCCGTGACGTCAAGCCCCACGTGAAAGTCTCGGTCTTCTTACAACATCACACACTTAAAACTTGTAATACCATCATACAAGGGTTGGGAGAATCCTTTGTTTAAAATTCGCTTTAGAAGTCAGATCAGTAATTTCAGAAACCTTTCTTGGTAATTGGCAGTGACGATACACAACAGCCAAAGAGAACAATGCCGCGGATTGCATTTCACTATCAGAAAGCTGGTCCGCTTAACTGAGTTTGACTGTAATATACTTCAAACGACATGCTGGTTAAAAGGCAATATAGAAGCAGTTTAAAACGTGTATCAGTTACCATGGCAACGTAATAGAACCGTTGTCCAGACGTCATACTGGGGTAGTCCATTTAGCGCCTTCACATGGCCTTCATCGCCTAGTCACGGTAGCGACAGCGCCAGGGCCGCCATGACAGCGTCCACGTGACCGAACATTAAAAGTTCAAAGGTAATTCTGTCAATATGATCTGCTTTCTGCTTATCTTAACAAATATAAAACTAGTTCTCACATGGCCGAATTTCTCACATGAACGAGTTTCAAAAACACTTCCAAATACAGTCCACCCAGCTGTGAATGGGTACCTCGTTATGGGTACCTCGTTAGGATGGAAAAGACATTAACCTGGTGCGCCTAGTGGCTGCACGAGTTGTATGTTCCAAAGGGGTTGAGACTGAAAAACTACGATGTGCCGTTCAGATTGACATCCAATGATCGAGGGAAAACAAAGCGCTTTGAGCATGCATTTAGATGGGATGGACTATATAGCTTTACAAATACCCACAAATTACAAATATATATATAAAATAAATTTTACTTAATTATTTTAAGAAGCGTAAAACAAAAGTATTATTATTATTATGATAAGAAATTAAAATGTTAATGTCTTATTCTTTGATTTCGTGTCTGCAATTTCCATTTCGTCATGACATGAAGCTGTCGAGCACGGGTTTGCTTTCTTAACTGGAGAGAAAAGCTTAAGTCACGAACGTATCTCCACGTTTCCAACGCTATGACGCTAAACATTCAGTTCATTTCTGAAATAGTATTGGCAGTTGGTTAGAACGTGTAGACCACATGCCAGTTAACATGTTAGTTTCATTAATCAACAAAAATACACTCTGACGTAACTACTTTACACTGTACATTTACCTAGCAGCGATTGACTGATGCTAGACAACGTACTGGACGTATTAGGAAGCCATTTACAAAACCGCTATATCTCCCTCCCAACAGGGTTGTCACTGAGTACTCCGTACAGTGCCTGCTACCAGTGACTGTCTACTATAGAATTATTGCTGCCTGTTGAGATTAAACACCAGGATCAAGGTCAAATAGCGGCCATTAATCTGTCGCGGATGCAGTATTGGAGTCTTTACCCGGCATGCAACACAAACCCTCAGCTAAGTGTACAGTAAATTACTAAATACTGAGCCCAGTTACACACACACACACACACACACACACACACACACACACACACACACACACACACACACACACACACACACACACACACACACACACACACACACACACACACACACACACACACATCACACACACACACATCACACACACACACACACACACACACACACACCTACTCTCTACCTCAAAATTCCTGATCCGCCCGTGCATGGTGTCGT